CGCGGCGTCGCCAAGGATCGCGGCCTCTAGTCACACTGTGCCTGCATGTCCCACCCAGACCGGCCCACGCTTACCGCCGCTCAGAACTCCACGAAGCGTCTCACCCGCTCGGCTCCCGCTGGCACTCACGGATCGCTCGCGCAAGTCTACTTGCTCTCGACCCTCGACCACTCGCACACGCGTAAAACTCGCTCGGCCCTCACCGCAGGAAGTGCGAACCAGTCACGACCGCATATATACCCGACTCACTATACGCACCGACACACAAACTAATTTTGCAGACCCGTATCCTCGTCACCGTCTTTCAAGCAGGCAGGACGACAACCTGCACGCGTTCTCCCCTGTCGTCCAATTATACCTACCACAGTACTATAGAATAATTATCGATTAATGCATTTTTTTACCCACTAAAGATACACGCAACACATCTTGATTCATGTCGTTTATCAACTGGGATACTTACAATTATTATGAACTGTTGGGTCTCGTACACCACAGTAGCCCTGTCAGGAACATACTGCCAAATCAACGACAAAACTGCGAGCCCAGCAGGCCAAGACGCTCACCGCTTCTGAAACGCGCCCGGTCAGGCGTATGGACGCCGAGGAAGCTGCCAAAAAGCGCGGGCGCAGCGTTCAACGCGCCGCAGACGGCCGGTGGACGATCAGGGGTACCATCCTTGTGTCTCTATACCTGTGTCGCTGCAGTGACTGTCACCCTACATTGTGCTTGTATTTATAGATAACGGCTCCCTACACACAAGCGGCGTGCGTTAGTCGGCTTTGCGGCCGGGCGGGGGCTGAAACTCGACACAACAATCACATGAACTCCGCCGCCCAGCACACACAAGCACGCAGTTTGATTGCCTAGAGCTTGCTACCTCGGCAATAACTGATTCGAGTTGGCTGACGCCTCCGTCGAGGCGCTCAAAAGTAAAACCATCTGCTCTACTTTGCGACAGCGAGCACGCGAGAGAAGCTACGCTCTTGCTCCTCCAATGCAGTTCGGCGACTCGTGACGGTCACCCCCATTCAAAGTGAATGGGCGAAGCATTTGAGGCGGCAACGGACGCTGCGTTGCTAGGGCCCATGAACAGAGCACAGCCTTTCCCTACAAATGTCACTCCTGGACTCTTCTGTTTCCTTCGAGTGTTTAAATATTTTTCTCCTGGGTCTGTTTTTATCAGTTCCGAAAGGATACCACTTGTATTTCTCTTGCCGGATTTTAGCATTCTCTGAAAGAGCTAGATGACCAGTCAATTTCGTGCTATAAGCCCGCGCTTTTCTTTCCCTTTTCTTCCGACCCCTGCGCTTATATACCACGCGGGCGCGCTTAATCCTTGGCGCTTTTTACTGCTGAACGCCACTAGGGGACCTCCTAAATCTATGGATTTTACAGGTTACAGTCCACCACCTTTAACTCTATGGGCTCTATGGCAGGTCCACGCCCCCCACCTTTAAGCGGCGGGCTCCAGCAGGAAAAGCTGGAGGCCGGAAAAGAGTGAGACAGGTAGCGCGCAAAAGTAAAAGTGGAACCGAGAGTGGTACGAGAGACAGAACGAGAGCAAGACAGACAGACATTACGAGAGCGAGAGAGTTTGTGCAAAGGTGTTAAACGTGCGCTGGGAGCGCACCGTTTAAGTTTGAAAGTTGAAAAGTTTGTGTGTCTGAAACGCTATGTGATACAGTACAGTTTACACAGCACAGTACATGTTCTGTAGCTACTATTGCACTAAATGGTAACACTTGAATACGTTATGCAAATATGCAACTTGTTTGTTGAAATGTTAATAAATGGGAGCTTCCTCAAACAGCCATCTCTTTCCCGACAATCCCCTCTGTGCACAAACCCTTACATATGGTAATTAAACATTAAAACACCTGCGGCTTATAGTCCAGTGCGGCTTATATATCTACACATCATTCAATTTAGCTGCTGCGGCTTATATTCAGGTGCGCCTTATAGTCCGAAAATTACGGTAATCAGGAGAAATATGGGATCATTGAAAAATGTAGCAGATCTTCTGTTATGACCTGGCTCAAAAGGCCACAACAAAGAGGAGACACACCATGTCAACGGTTATCAAAAGATGTTTATTTAGAACAAACAATTCAAATCAACCAATTTGTTATACTCAACAGTGCCTGCAGGGAAAAACAGAGAGGTAACAAAAAGGACCAGAGAGGCTTTAAATAGCTGCAGGGCACCAGAGCCAGTTACTGCAATCAATGCAATCAATACAGCACAGACAGGACAGCCACACTCTCTCTAATGATGAACCCACAGGGGCATCACATCTTCTCTTTGTTTTTTCCAACAGAGCTGGGCGCCAACCCTCTGGCCAACACTGGGATTGAGTTTGGAGCTTTTAACGGCTTGTCCACCCTGTACATCGGTATTGCAGAGGCCAAACTAACCGCCGTACCAAAAGGTAGAATATCACTCATCTCACGTACAGTATTATACACAGAGTACACCTCAATTAGGCTTAAACACTGCTTAAGACTGTTGATATGATGCTTTATTTTAATAAGTTTAAAAAATAAGTAATTAATTGAGTATACAGTATGCTTGTCTTGTTCTGCTCTTTATATTGGTTATGTTTGATTTTTCTCCCAGACCTCCCTTCTTCCATCACAGAGCTGAGCCTAGACTACAACAAGATCACTAAGGTGGAAATAGAAGACTTCAAACGATACAAAAACCTGCAGAGGTAAAAAAAAAGAAAAAAGTCTCGCATTATGCCGGAAACTAACTTTTTTTCATCACTTCATTTCTGGAGAGTCGAGGATTTCTATTAACAAGGGGTGATAATGAATTGTACCTTTCAACTATCTTTTGACATTTCTACAGGCTAGGACTGGGCTTTAACCAGATCAAGTCTGTAGAAAACGGCAGCTTTGCCAGCATCCCGAGCATCCGTCAGATCCACCTGGACCACAACCGTCTGAAAAAGGTCCCACCGAACCTTGGCTCCATGCGCTACCTCCAGGTGAGATACAGACACTTTGATCAGTATCAGTAGACTAAAGTGCGAGCCATAAACTGAAGTCATCTAGGTTTAGCTGACTGTGGAGTTAGGACAGGGCTAACAGCTGGCAAACCCGCTATCAGGGCAGGATTTCTGAGATGGTGTATGTAGTCACGATGGTTGGTCAACAAATAGCTCCAAAACGAACTCCGTTTTACATTTCTTTAGAAGATAAACATGATCTTGACATCTCTTTTTATTGGATGCTTAGAGATGGAAAATATATAATCCAAAGGTAGCAGCATCTGAAGGCAAAGCAGGCATGTTGCCAAGACTTCGTACTCAAAGGCCATGTCCTCCAGCTCATTCAAAAGAATCCTAAGTTTCTAATGTATGAGATCAAAAAAATCCACAGGGTGGCATGCAGGTCAAGTAACTTCTCCTAATGAATCCTTCTCTCACTGTGAAGGAGCATATTATCAAGCCAGGACATCCCACATAGTAAACTTATTTTGGAACATAAATCCATAGTTAGATCAGGTCAGTTTCCTTTGTACTACAATAGCAGTTTCCTTCAACTCAGCAACCTGGAGCGATGAAAATAAGAACTTTCTGACTCAGACTTTCTTTCCTGGTCAATACATTGTGATCTTGAGTTCAGGGAACATAACTCATGGTGGTTTACTGCACAAAAACAACTGTTTAAAAAAACAAATCTCTGTCTGTTTAGATGATTTACCTCCACGGCAACAAAATCAACAGTGTGGGAGTCAACGACTTCTGTCCCATGGAGCGCAGTTTCAAGAAGAACCTGTACACAGGCATCAGTCTGTTTGCCAACCCTGTGAAATACTGGGACATCCAGCCGGCCACCTTCCGCTGTGTGAGCGGACGAAGAGGCGTTCAGCTCGGAAACTTCAGAAAATAGTTTGGAATGAAAACAATGCGCTCAAGAGAGAACTAGCATTATCCTAGTGTCCAAATTAGGAAGTAGTTGAAAACTAATCTGATAGATAAAACAAGATAAAAACTGGATTCTTAAAGTATTCTGAAAATGAATTTTGCGTATAAATCAAGAAATGTATTAAAAAGTATTGCACATGTTGGTTAAGCTACCACAAGTAAAACATGTTTTTGTAGCTGAAGATCAAATACAGGGGGAGGACGTTATAACTTGCAGTACATTATAATCACATTCAACACAAGTGCCCTGTTACCTTCGTGAGGTTTCTGTGAGGGGATCCTTAGTTTTTGTCACTTGACTTTTCTGTGTAAACCTTTCCAGGAATAAAGCGCCTCCCTCTGGTCACTTTTAGAGCACAACGACAGAATCTACCGGCTTTTAATGGGTTTAAGCTATTTTCTTTCAAGTTTTAAATTAGACAATATTTAGAATTCAAAAGCTTGAGTTGTTTTCTAAACCACAACAAACATACTAATTGTCCGTCTTATGCCATATCTTTGCATATTATATTCATGTATTTTTTAAGTTAAGATATATTAATCATCATAAAAGAGTCACTATAAGGCCAGAGCATTACATGACCCTAAAAACCACTTTCACTTTTTCCTTCCAGCAGAAGTCTGTACTGGCATTTTTATTTAGTGCAATATGTCACTTTGAAGCTGTCTGTATGTGGATGTTTTATATTATCTCGCTGCATGTCTGTATTGTCTTTATTTAGAAGCGGAATGCTTCATGGATCATACAAGTCTTAGAAACCTAAAAGGTAATTTTGTTTTATTGAACTATAGCAACCAAGTGAACTAGTTATTATAAAAATGATAAGCAGGTAATGTAATTCCCAAGCTGAGAGCATCTTCCTTTTAAACTGTTTGTTTCTTTAAATGCTTCTACTCTTAAATGGTGCTATATTTATTGAGTTTGCGATCTAATAAACCAGGATACCCCCCCCCCCCCTTGTATTTTGTAATTTATTTTTTAAAGGAAAGTGGGTTTGAGTTGTAATTTAAATATTTCATTTTGTTCTTTAGGCAAGTTATGTCATATCCTTTAAACTTTTGATTTCAGGCTATTTAAATGACAGAGCTGAATATAAAATAATGTTTCTGCCTAAATCAGTGGGCAAGATACTGGTTAAGATAATAGTGAAGAAAAAGGTTGATTATGATGAGGAATGATCAACACTTTTCAAATAACTTGATCCTTAATTGAATAAAGAGAGTCCTATGTGGATTGTATTCTTAGAGGGGCTGAAACTTATAATTGTATTTATTTTATTATTGCTTATAAATAATTTGATTTAATCAAATCATCAATAGTCTACTACAGTGGTTCTCAACTGGTGGGTCGCGACCCACGTTCGAGTGGGTCGCAGATGTGTGAGTGAAAAAAAAAAGATAGAAAAAAAAAGATTCCCTTTTTTTTTTTTTTTGGGAGAAAAAGTCAAACTTTTATTTTGAAGGCCCGATTTTCTAATGCTGTGCATGCAGTAGGCGTTGGACTGAAAGTACCGGAGACCATAAACGGTTTTGAAAACTTCTGTCACGGAGTGATCATCTTCTCAATAAAACATCTTTGCTGATGTTTTTTCGAGTCTTCTGGCCAATCAGAATCAAGATTGTTGCCGGAAGTCCCCACGGAGAATAACTTTGAGGTAGAACTATTCTTTATACATCCATGGGTACAACTTCAGATAAAAATGAACACATAATGAAATATGACCCCTGGTTTGATGATTGACANTATTGAGGACTGACAAGCCCTCAAAATGCATTTTATTGAATGTACCGTAATCTTCGGACTATAAGCCGCGCCTTTTTTCCCATTTTTCGACCCTGCGGCTTATAAGCCGCAGGGTCGAAAAATGGGAAAAAAGGCGCGGCTTATAGTCCGAAGATTACGGTACATTCAATAAAATGCATTTTGAGGGCTTGTCAGTCCTCAATATCTCTCTAGTTTACAAATCAAAAACTACTGTAGAAGGTTTTTCTTTTCCTAGTTAAAGCTTCATTAAATCAGATCTGTAACAACAGATGGGACCATGCAGATGAAAGGTAAAAACAAATTAATTGGGCTGCATAACCTGTAAAAAATGTTTTTAACTGTGCAATATTGTATTACATTGTATATTCAGAGCAAAATGATATATTGGGGGGGGGTCACGTGGACAAGACCAAGATGGCAGCTTAGCTGGGAGGCTCCCGGCAACCACACATAATTTAATACAAAATCCCTACCTACACGGCAAAATATTTTAACACAATATCAGCTTGATATGTCAAATCCTCCTCCGACCAAGGCTTGCGATATTTTTACTCGAGGGCGAAGTCGGTCGATTAAAACAGCCCCGCCAAGTCCACGGATCGACTCAGAAGATAGCAACATGGCTAACATAGCGAACGTTTTGAGCGAGTTGAAATCACTGCGGGCGGACTTCGGAACAAAGTTGGACAACATTGACACACGTCTGACTGTCATGGCAACCTCAATGGCTTCATTGGAGAGTAAAATAACATAATTAAGACGGGATTTTTCTTCCAATTCAACCCGTATTAACGAAGCCGAAGGCCGCATACACCACGCAGAGAAGACGCTTGAATAAACGGAGGCCACACTTGACTCCGTTAACAAACGTATCGCTTAGCTTGAGTCAAAGACAGACGACCTGGAGAACCGGGGCAGAAGAAAGAATCTGCGGCTGTTTGGTATACGAGAAGGAGCCGAGGGCCAACAAACACTCCTCAACTTCGTTAAGGACATGCTAACACGATGGCTGGAGCTGACACCTGACAGGGCTCTCACTCTGGAGCGGGTTCATCGCACGCTAGCGTCGGGGAAACCAAATCAACACAGAGCGGTCATCGTCCTTAAGGCCCTGACACACCAAGCAGTCACCAAAGAACTCGCCGACGCCGACTGTTGCGTCGCCGTGTTCTCCTGCGTCTTGGCCATGTGTCGCACTGGAACACACCGCAAAGACTTCAGCCGAGCACGTACGAACTGCGCATGCGTGAGTGGCAATAACTCTCCTTATCAGCAGGCGGCGGTAGTGTGTATTCGTTATTCAAAAGAGGCAACAACCGGAAGACAGAGAAGAAGAAAGGACTGCGTGATATAAACAAACAACAAATAGCGTGTGCGTTCCATTTTCATTCTCGTCCATCGAAAACATTTTTTGTGCGGTACTGGAGCTATCAGCCATTGGAGTGATTTCTTTGGCCGACTGCCTGTGGCCGATGCGATTTGAAAGGCCAAATAAGGCGTGTCACTGCCGACGGGAGTTAAATACAAATTAAGTTTGGGCGACAGGGCACGCTTCGTCGTTCGACTAACGAAAACGGCCGATTTCGGCCTGCTGTGTCATACAAATCAGAATACACAGAAAACAGGGAAGCTCAGAGCAATTTCCTTGACAGGCTACAGTTTCATACTCTGTCAGATGATGAAAAGGCAAAACTAGATAGTCAATTGACAATAGCAGAACTTTGTGAAGCTATAGGGAATATCAACAGCGGTAAAGCACCCGGACCAGATGGGTTTCCCATAGAGTTTTATAGAAAAATTTTTAAAAAAACTTGTAAAGCCGCTTCTCGATATGTATGAAGAATCTTTTGTCAAAGGAACGCTCCCAGATTCATTGAGATTAGCTATGATAACTTTAATATTAAAACCAAACAAGCCACCAACAGAATGCTCATCTTACAGACCAATTAGCTTAATGGGATGTGATACAAAAATACTTTGCAGAGCTCTTTCTGGACGATTAGATAAATATCTCCCTCAATTAATTGTTGATGATCAACAAGGTTTTTTGCAAAAACGACAGGGATTTCTAGGGATGCACCGAATATTCGGCCACCTAAAATTATCGGCCGAAAATGGTTAAAAAGGCCCTTTCGGC